AGAATTTTGGAATTCTTGCAGAATTGTTGTGTCACGGAGTTGACTAGATCAATCCATGCCCGTGTGCATCCCAGGGCTCTGAAGGAACAGTCTGATGTGGTTGCCAAGCCGCTCTGCATCATGTCTGAAAAATCATGGCTCTCAGATGAAGTCCCTGGTAACTGGAAAGAGGGAATCATCCCTCTCATATTCAAGAAAAGAAGGAAGAAAGAAAGGCTTGGGGAACTATAGGCCAGTGAGCCTCGTACCTGTATCTGGAAAGATCATTGAGCAGATTCCTGGAATCTATGTTAAGGCAGATGCATGATGAGGAGGTGATCTGAGACAGTCAGCACAGCTTCACCGAGGACAGATCATGCCTGACCAATGTGGTGGCCTTCTCTGATGGACAGACAATATTGGTGGACAAAGGAAGGGCTGATGTCTTCTAACTAGACTTGTGCAAGACCTTTGGCATGGTCCCACACCACATCCTTATCTCTAAATTGGAGAGATATGGAGGACTGAAGGCTGGAATACTTGGTGAGTATAGAATTGGTTGGATGGTCGCACACTGAGGGTTGTTTTCAATGGTTCTATGTCCAGACGGAGAATGGTCATAGTTGGTGTCCCCCAGGGGGCTGTCTTGAGACAGGTGCTCTTCAACATGTTTATTAATGACTTAGACATTAAGGATTGAGGATTAAAGATTAATCCTTAATCCTTAAGATTAAGGATTAAGTGCACCCCCAGCACATTTGCTGTTGACAGCAAACTGACACAGTGTGACACAGCTGTGTCATGGTTTTATGTTTTTTTTCAGGGTCGCGGTTTTGGTGTGGGTGGTTAGGAACAAAGTTAGGGTCATACAACATTTCCACCACAGCTATTTCCCTCAAATACTGGATACCCTTTTCAACTGTATCCCATTTTTTCATCGCAATCTTCAAGCCATTTTTGAAGGAATATTTTTCCTTCACAGCTATTAACATTCATTCCCAGAGGGTGGCAGCCTCATCCAGAAATTGACTAATTCCTCTGTCAATAGCTGGATCTCCGTCAATGGTGCCTAGTTGGTGAGCTTCATTACTATCTAGAGACAAGCTATGGGCCCCACTGTCCCAACAGAAAACCAACGAGGGAACGAGAGTTTCATTCGGGCGCCATGTAAACTCCTTTCTTGAACCTTGGATTTCAGTCATCTTTAGAGGGGGGCGAGTAGTAATAGAGACTTCCTCTTCATCACTCTCTCTCTGCATGTCTCTTAGTTTTTCCTTTTGCCTTTCACGATGGTGGTGGTTCTGAGGAGGGCCCCTCGCCTGGATCTTCCTCCACCTCCTCCTCCTCCTCTTCTCTTTTTCGTTCTAGATGCGAAGACACTCATTTCCATTTCTTGCCTTCCAAAGGAGCAACTGGTATTGTTACTGGTGTCTCCTGTAATTGATCAGATTTGACTTGGAGATTTTCCCCTTTGGCTTGAACCTCAGCTCGGAAACTCTCTCTCTCCAGAATGGTGTTATATAGGGCACAGTAAGCACAAGCCAAACCCCAAATAAGTTGTACCTCCTTAGATTTATGTAAGCCGCATCGTCCCTGACTCAAATACTGGCTGAGTTTCTCAGGATCCCACAGGTGTTCAAGAGTAAAATCCCATGACACTGCGGGTCCCCATGCTTGTAAGATCTTTCCTAAATCTCTCTACATTCCCTGCCAGTCATCATTCTCTAGTTTTGGAGGAGACTCCTTCCCCTTATTATGAGTACGTTGGAATACAATCAGGGTAATTAATGACACACCAACATGAACATTAATTCAAGATTTGAAAATCGTGTGAGAAACCAAGAAGAAAGCCTGGAGACTGGTCTGAACATCGTGCTGTTTGTAAGATTAGCTGCTCCATTTGGGATGTAGTTATTTGTAAAATTAGCCATTCCGTCTGGGATGTAAATGTCAAAATTCAAATCATACCACATTGCATATAGGTACCATACAGGTGTCTCCATCAGTGCCATTAGGTAGCTATATATGAACACAATTCCACAACAAGTAACTATGAGATTGATTATTGGCCAGTAGGTTGTGAGTAACACCATTGCTTGTAATCCTTTACACAGCACCCCCACAATAACGAGTGGGTTCATCGCTGGTGCTTGCTAAAAAGGGGTTAATGAATTGAAGCTAACAAGAGGAGGGAAAAAAAAGAAAAAGACACTACTCAGACTAAGCAGTGCTCAAAGTTTACAAATATCCCACAGTACGCCTGGTCTTTCAAGGTCAGGTTTTCCAAAACAGAAACCTGAACTACTGATAATGCTCCTTAATGGAGCTCTCGAAGAGCAGAGAGAAAAAGAGATCCATTCTAAAAGCTAAAAAGCAGCTATTGCCCGCATTCTCCACCAAAATATGTCATAGAGTTGACTAGATCAATCTATGCTCATGACAGGGGGGCAGTATTCATCTGCCCTTCCCCCCCACCTCAGCCCCACAAAATGGGAAGGAAGGAAGGGAGGAAAAGAACAGTGGCAACAATCTACAGAGGAAAACTTACTTTACTACAATACTGGAATACAATATAACACAATATAATACAATTTAATTGAAATTGAGATTAATAAATCAGACAAGATGAGAGAGAGAGAGAGAGAGAGTTCCCGGGACTGAGTCAAAACTGAAGAGCTCAGAACGGCCAGGAAAGCACCTCCAGCACCCACTGCAAGGCAGCCAGAGAGCGCCCCCCACCCGGAAGGGCCAGATCCCGTGACTTCTGTCATGTACAGGGTTGGGTACCTGGGATTGGGGCATTAACACTTTAATGCCCCATATACCACATGATGTTTTGATGTGGAATGCTGAAACCTGGAAAAAACAAAAAACAAAAAAAATCATAAAACCATGACACAGTGAATGGGAAAATTGCCAACCAGAGGGACCTGGAAAGTTTGAAAGGTGGGCACAAGAGAACCTGGTAAGATTTAGCAAGGTCATGTGAAAGGTGTTGCACTTGGGTTGAGGCAATCCCAGATATGAGTTCAGAGTGGGAGAAGAACACATCAAGAGCAGTTCTATTGAGAAAGACTTAGGGGTCCTGATGGACAAAAAATTGGGCATGAATCAGTAGTGTGCTCCTACAGCCTGGAAGGCCAAACAGCATCAAAAGAGTGATGACAGCAGGGAGAGGGAGGGGATTGTCCCCCTCTGCTCAGCCCTTGTAAGGCCCCATCTGGAGTACTGCATCCAGGCCTGGGGCCCCTGGTACAGAAAGGATGAGGAGATGTTGGAGCAGGTACAGAGGAGGGCCAGAAGATGATCAAAGGACTGGGGCTCCTTTACTATGAAGAAAAGTTGAGGGATTTGGGTCTGTTTAAGTTGGAGAAGAGAAGGCTGTAGAGAAAACTTGATTGTGGCTTTCCACTACTTGAAGGGAGCTGGTGAGCACGAGGGGACCAACATTTTACATGGTCTGATAGTGACTGGATAAGGGAAAATGACCTTACACTAAAAGAAAAGAGATCCAGGTTAAATGTTAGGAAAAACATTTTTTTACTCAGAGGTTGGAGAGGCCCAAGCCTAGGGTGCCTGGAAGTTGTGGATGCCCCATCCCTGGAGGCATTCAAGGCCTGGATGGATGGAGCCCTGCGCAGACTGACTTAGAGCTGATGTTGGAAATCCTGCCCATGAAGGAGGGCTAGGAACTAGATGATTTTTAAGATTCTGCCTAGTCTAAGACATTCTATGATTCCGTCATGCTCCTATGATTCTATCTTAGCCACAAGCCAGTCTGCTTAAGGGCCCCATGAGCATGGGGTGGTCAACAAAGGCTCAGAATCTCCTCTGCCTGCTCCTAGCTTTCGTGGGCTCCCAGAAGCTGCAGCCCTGCAAAGTACCAAGCAGAGGGCTCATTCTGACCACTCTCACAACCGGATCACGATGCTCCAGCTGCCACCCAGCAGCCACAAGCCTGTCTAAGGGTTATCTTTGGGCTGATGGCCAGCCCAAACATGGGACATGTGCTGGGGACAGGGACTGAGGAACAGCAGCACGGTCACAGAATCACAGAATCACAGAATCATAGAATCACAGAATCACAGAATGGCCAGGATTGGAAGGGACCTCAAGGATCATGAATCTCCAACCCCCCTGCCACAGGCAGGGCCACCAACCTCCCCCATTTAATGCTAGACCAGTCTGCCCAGGGTCCTATCCAACCTGGCCTTGAACACCTCCAGGGATGGACGGGGCATCCACAGCCTCTCTGGGCAGCTGTTCCAGCACCTTACCGCTCTCTCTGTCAAGAACTTGCCCCTTACATCCAACCTAAATCTTCCCTCACAAACTATTTCCCCTTGTCTTCCAGTTATCTAGCCTTCCAAAGAGTTGATTCTCCTCCTGTTTGTAGGCTCCCTTTAGGTTGTGAAATGCTGTAATGAGGTCACCCTGCAGCCTTCTTTTCTCCAGGCTGAACAAGCGCAGCTCCCTTAGCCTGTCTTCGTAGGGGAGGTGCTCCAGTCCCCTGATCATCTTCGTGTCTGTCCTATGAACCCTCTCCAATAGTTCCCTGTCTTTCCTGTATGGCTCAAGAGCTCCTGGTTATGCTTGCCTCTACAGGGAGAAGTAATACTCAGATCAACTCCCATCAGACTCCATCCTCCCATGATTTGTTTGGCCTTTGATGGTATCTGTGCTGGCCATGCTGGTCAGGGTGGGAAGCAGACCCAGATGGACAGACATGAGAGTTGCTAAGCCCTTTCCTGGAATTCCGTGGATGCAAAATGCTTGGAATGACAATGGAGCTCTCTAAATGCACGAAGAGTGTACAGGCATGGCTGACATCAACTCTTCTCCAGATCTCCTCCCCCATTCCTGCTGCATTCCCACAGCCTCCACAGAGTCTGCTGGCATCTAATTTGCCTACAGATATGGAGATAAAACAGAGGCTGTGAGAGCATCAGCACTGACCCTGAATTCATACAGACTCCTGGAGAAAGACGCATGTTTAAGAACACAATAATAACTAATAAAAATTGTAAATATATTACATATATATATATAATGCAGGATACACATACAAATGTAAAACAGCAAATGGAGTGTATTTATTAATATAAAAAAATCTATAATATAAGCATGAAAGAAGATAATAGATTATGAGTCATTAGCAAAGAGAAATGAGAATTTTATCTCTGCTGAAAATTGTCCATGTCATCATTTTCCTCACTGCATCCCTGAGCTCCCGGTTCCTCATGCTGTAGATGAGGGGATTCACTGTTGGGGGCACCACCGAGTACAGAACTGCCACCACCAGGTCCAGGGATGGGGAGGAGATAGAGGAAGGCTTCAGACAAGCAAAAAAGATGGTGCTGAGAAACAAGGAGACCACAGTCAGGTGAGGGAGGCACGTGGAGAAGGCTTTGTGCCGTCCCTGCTCAGAGGGCATCCTCAGCACCGACTTGAAGATCTGCACATAGGACACAACAATGAATACAAAGCACCCAAATAAGACAAGGATACTAACCACAACAAGACCGACTTCCCTGAGATAGGATTTTGAGCATGAGAGCTTGAGGATCTGTGGAAGTTCACAGAAAAACTGGTTCACAGCATTGCCATGGCAGAGAGGCAGAGAAAATATATTGGCAGTGTGCAGAAGGGAATAGAGAAGCCCAGTGCCCCAGGCAGCTGCTGCCATGGTGGCACAAGCTCTGCTGTCCATCAAGGTCCCGTAGTGCAGGGGCTTGCAGATGGCAACATAGCGGTCATAGGACATAATGGTGAGAATGGAATACTCTGCTGAGAATAAAAACAAAAAGAAAAAGAGCTGTGCAACACATCCAGCGTAGGAGATGTGCCTGGTGTCCCAGAGGGCATTGGCCATGGCTTTGGGGAGAGTGGTGGAGATGCAGCCCAGGTCGAGGAGGGCGAGGTTGAGCAGGAAGAAGTACATGGGGGTGTGCAGGCGGTGGTGGCAGGCTACGGCTGTGCTGATGAGGCCGTTGCCCAGGAGGGCAGCCAGGTAGATGCCCAGCAAGAGCCAGAAGTGCAGGAGCTGCAGCTGCCGCGTGTCTGCCAACGCCAGGAGGAGGAACTGGCTGATGGAGCTGCTGTTGGGCATCTGCAGTTCCTGCTGGGCCTGGAGTCCTGTGCAGAGTGCAGGAGATAGTGAGGAGACCATTCTCAGAGACACTTCTTCTGCTATACTTTATTTTGTTTCTTTCTCTCAGATCAGTATTCATTAACCTCCATTACTTGAATTTGATTTCATGAAGTTCAGCATTCCATAAGCAGAGGGCAATTATGAAGCTTATGCATTTGTCTCATTTTTAATCTTATCCTATCTCCCTGGATATTTTCATCTGTTTCCCTGTCCCATATCCTTAACTTCTCTGCTCTTAGTGCACCCCATCCCAACCTGTGTGCACTTAAATTCTGTTAGAGATAGTTGCCTGATTGCAGGATAAGTGCATTATTCATGCCAACAGAAAACAACTGTATTGAAATTTGGTTCTATCCTACAAGGGAGGAGAGGCTGAAAGTGAACGTGTTCAAGATTGACAGCCCCTTTTAGATTTCTTCCTCAAATCCTTTCTCTTCCCATGAGAGTAGGAAAACCCCTGCCTTGTCTCTCCTCTTGCAAAAGTGCCCTTAGAAACACTCTGGCATGGAGTGAATCTGTGATCCCCCTGCCCCAGGCAGGAGCTGTGGCAGCAGAAGGCCCCTGCCCTGCCCTGCCCTGCCCTGCCCTGCCCTGCCGGGGGGCTCCTTCCCCCCACACGTCTCCCCACAGCGCCCTGGGCAGCTCCCCAGGCAGGCTGAGTGCTGAGCCTGGCAGGCAGCACAGTCCCTGCCCCGGCACACAGCCCCTGGGGCACAGCAGGACCTGCTCTGCAGGACAGCCCTGGGCACCCGGCTGCAGCCATGGCTGCACAGCCTGCAGCCGTCCTGGGACACGCAGCCCTCAGGGCTGTGCTCTGACTCTGCAGCACAGAAGCCCTCAGCTGGAGCAGACCTGTTTCCATGATAAAGAAACAGAGCTTATGCAGCCTGATCTGCCATGAGATGTCCATGTTTTAGTGCTCCCTCCAGTAAAAGCAGCTGCATTACCTGAAGCCAGAGACTTAACTTGTCAAGGGCTGTGGGAAATGCTCCTCCAGTGAGCTCACAGTCTGCTAGCACACCTCACTACCTGTAAGCTCTCTTCCTTCTTCTCTCTTCCACCTGCATGTCATGCCCCCAGCCCTGCTGTGCCGTGCAGAAGAGCAGCTCCTGGGCACAGTTGTCTCTCTGCAGCACTGCCCTTTATATGAGTTCCCTGTGTCCCAGGAGCCCAGAGTACCTCAGCAGCAGAGGATGTCTTTTCTATGCACCCTACTGATCTCCCCTGAGATGTCCCTGGGTCTCCATGGCCAACAGCTCCTGAAAGACAACAGCGTCATGACTGTACTCTGAAATCTGTGTAATTAGCCACCAAAATCCCAGTGAACAGTGACTAATTCCAGACATACAGTTAGTCCTACCAGTGAGTGCTTGCTGTAACTAAAAGGATGAGGACAGGGAGGGGTGGACTTCCCTGGGCTAGGCAGTGATCCAGCTGAGGCAATGCAGGCATCTCATCCCTAGATGGAAACCCTATGGTTGAAATGAGATTCAGCTTTGCAAGGACCCACAGGAGTTTCAGGGATTCCTCTGGTTGAGTTCAGATGTGCACAAGGAGTTGCCTGCATGTGAGCTCCTGCTCTGAGTCCTTGGTCCTTCAGCAGGGAGTCAGTTGCTCACACACAGACCCTGGTTGATGACCAAGGTGCCTGGGGTGCTCCTGGATGTGTGCCAGTGCTTGTGAAGTGTGTGGGACATCCCTGAGATAGACACATACTTCCTGAGAGCCAGGGAAGGATTAGCAGTATTTTTGACCATCCTAAAGGAGAACAAACCCCTGCATTTATGGCATCTCAAAGTGTATTTTTCACCCATCTCCATGGAGCAGGCAGAATTTTACTAAATGGCTGAGCTCCCAAAAGAAGACCTAGATCTTTCTCTATTCTCCTTCTGCTGCACATTCTGGAGATCAAGGCACTGCAAAGCTAACACACAGCTTTATCCTTCAACTGACAAAACATCAGTTTTCTATGTGTTCTCATGTGAATTGCTTCAGAAGCAGCCTGACATCATGCCAATTAGCTTGGGTTTCCAGCACATTCACACGTCGCTGCAAATAGAGCATAGGCCTTCAGGAAAGCCTAGGAGTGTGCATGCTGCTTGGACAACTCCAAGCCCCACAATGGGTCTAATGCCTGTGTGCCACCTTCTGAACACAAGTACAATAGATGTAGTATACAGCCACGCTAAATCTAATGATGCTTCCCCATAAGGTTGTTTCTTTATGTGTTTTTACACTAGTAGAACACCAACACAAGCTGGGCTAGAAATGTTGCAGGCCTGTGTTCTTGTTTGGACCACAGGGACACGGTTAAATGGCTTCCACAACTGGACTGTAGCACAAGGAGCATACAGAGTCTTGACGATGGATGGGTGAGAAGACACGGAAATGTGAGAGTGCACTGAGCTCTTCCTGTGAATGGCAGAGGAAGCAGGTCAGAGTGAATGGCTTCTTGGTCAGGAAAACAGGTGGAAGGTGCCCTCTGCAGACAGATGGGAGCCTCATGTTGTCAGGCCCTTGTTGCCTTTGGGGGCCTTTTCTAATCCAGTATGTGCTGCAGGGACAGCACAGCAGGGCATGCACCATCCAGGAGATCCCCGGAGAGCACAGCTGGCAGCTTCTTGACCAAGCCATAGAAGAACTGAAGAGGAGAGGTGCTCTGCTGCATCTCATACTCACCAGCAAGTTCAGCAGATATGGAGGGAAAAATCAAAAGATTCTAACTATTCATGCCAGACAGATCCTCTTGACACTATCATGAGACGTCTGGCTTGTACACCTGGCATAGATGTGAGCAGATGCTATAAAGACCATTGGCAAACCTCGCCAAAACTGAGGTGGCTTGGCAGAGGTGAGTGGCAAGGAACCATGGGTTTGTGTGCAACAAAGGAGCAGGCGGCGGATTGCCAAATGATGGAGGAGTCCATCACTGATGCATGGAACCCGCTTTATGCTCCCCCAACCAGGAGAAGACGAGGGAGGTGGCCTGCACAGAGGAGCTGAGCACCAACGTGGAGCAGCATTGCGCAGAAATGGTTCCATAGCAGCTGGGGGCAGGGCACAGAGGGCGGCACATTGCTGAGCGGCTGCTGGCAGAGTGCTGTGCAGGGATGGAGGCCCTGATGGCTCCTTTCTTGTCAGGGAGAGTGAGACATTTGTTAGGGACTGTGTTCTGTCCTTCTGGCACCGTGAGAAGTTGCAGCAGTGTCGCATACACTGGCGGCAGCATGCAAACAGCCACAAGCTCTGTGTGACTGACACCCAAGTATTTGACAGCCTGCACGACCTCGTCACTACTGCTGGGAGATGCCGCTGAGGTATAACAGACTTGAGATAAGGCTGACAGAGCCATGCCTCGGTCCAGCACTCAGCAACACAGACCGGGTGTGCGGGATGGCCCAGGAGGGACGAGCCCAGCTCCAGCACCCTCTCCTTCAGGGCAGCATGGAAGACCCAGCACTGTCACTTGCAGCATGAGGGTCATGTTTAACAAAGCACTTGACCAAGTGCATATTGCTCAAGTGCATGGCACACAATAAAAGTTTTTGTTCTGCAGTAACAACGGAGTCTGTGTTTAATTGCCACAGATAAACCTTGATCTTATTTGCCCTCCATAACCTGTGTCTTTCCCAAACCTTTTCATCTCCCAAACTTCACAAAAAAAAACAAAAACAAACAAACAAAAAAACCTACTTCATATAGTTCCGTCTCCCCCCTCCAAGGTTTCCAGGGCTGACAGTGAGATCTTGGGTTTCCTAGATCTCTGCAAATAAAGGCTTATTCTCACTTCCAGTGTTCTGTCCTTTCCCTGTTCACAAGTAACACTTTGCTTTTGACAGGGGTAGTGCAGGGGATGCGTTAGCCTCTGGCCTCCAGCTCTTCCTCCCAGAGTTCTGCTTACAAGCTGTGCGGGGGGGCAGTGTGGGGGATGCATTCTCATGCTGGTGCCAATCTACTTTGGCTAGAGCAGATCACCGACTTTAAGATCTCTAATTCAGTTCTTCCTTTACCCTTTTTCTGCTTTGTTTTCCACATTTCCACTGTTCATACCCTCAATTACGCTTCCACGTACCATCAACAACTACACCTCCACATACCATTGAAACAGTCTGTCCTACTTCCTTCAGAACCTACAAATCAAACAATACAATTCTTTACTTTCCACAAACACCAGCACTTGGTTGCATGATTAGAATCCTCAATTATAAAAACTGGTCCCACTACTTCATATATGTTCCCGGTTTCTTATTTGATATTCCCCCTATCTCATCTGCAAAGTCTCTCCTGTGAGCTAAAATACAACACAGGGGTCTTTTTTTATTGTTGTTTTGTTTTTGTTTTTGTTTTGTATCTTTCTAGACACTCCTAGACCTAAGGGGACTTCCCTAAGAGGATATATTGAAATATTAACAAGGTTAGTGTTAGAGAAAGGAAAATTCTCCAGGTCCCATCTGCATTCCAGTTCCCTCAGTATTTAAGAATGTGCAAACTCTCTCTAGGACCCTGGGAGGATCAGCAGCACAGCTACTCCCTGCCTCTGCAGAGACCACTGCCGCTTGTATTACTTTAGAACCTCAAGGAGGGGGGAGTTTTTAAGGGATCCCATTTATGACCTTTCTGCTTCTCTCCTTTCTCTTTTGAACTTTGACTCTTTCTTGTGAGGAACTATTTTACTTTTTTTTTGCTCCCATTAAACAACATAAGCCAACTCTGTTTCAGAGAAAGGAGCCTTACTGTTTACATACAAATTCAAAGTCTGACAAACCCAACTGCTGTCAGACTCACATTTTGGTCAAAATGTTTTTCTATGTAGTGGCTCTCTAAGCTATATCTGCACACAATATTTAAACATCTTTTTCATGTTCTTGTCCCTAGTTTGGGGATTATTTTCCAATTCTGAAGCTTCTTTCCTAAGAGGCTATCTTTAGGCACAATTTTGGGGACCCTTTTTCCCTGCTCTCAGGAGCTCCTATTCCCCATCCCTCCAGAATGCTGCTGTGAAATCCCCAGCTCACAGGTTACCACCCTCTGATTCTCGGATTTGGGGCCGATCCCTCTGGAGCACCTTGCTCAGATTCTCAGATTAATAGAGGTGCACTGCTGGCACTTCAAGTGCACAGGGTACCGCACACCAGCAGCTCCCTCCTGATACTTTTCCTTCCACCAACAGCCGCTCTGTGTGTCCCTGGCCGTGCCCCTCACGGGACAACAGAGCCACCGCTCGGAACTCAGCACTCGTTTCTCACTGAAAGCGCGTCTCAGTCACACACACTCAAGAGTCTCAACCAACACCCAAGGCAAGAATTAAGTTCCCATACCTTGGTCCGTCCTTGAAATTACCAGGTCACAACAGCCGACACCGGTGCCTGCCTGCCTGCCCCCTGGCTTTCACACTGCCCGTCCTTTATGTAACACTCTCGGTTTCTTATTGGCCGCCCCAAGGAGTCCCCTCACCACCCAGACAGGACTGCTAAAATTAGCGGGGTGCACCTATCCTGTCCAGGGCAGCGAAGGAGACCCCCAAGAGGTGATAATGATCCTGGACGAGCCCCCAAATTGTTGGAAATGACCAAACAATTTATCAGGACGGTATCTCTGCTAAAGCAGATTTTATTCGCATTGCAATGGTGGGACTCCTGCAAGCAGGAGAGCATGCAGAAAAAAGCGTTCCATCTTCTATGCTCTATTACTCTGCACTTGTCTCTTTCTCCCCTGGTTCCTCATCGGCTGAGTACTTCAGGTTCACAATCTTCCCGCAGCTGAACTAAACATACGGATACTGGCTAAACATCAACTTTTGATACCCAAGCATACATTGCTGATTAGTTAACTTCTCATATTTGCTCATTCAACACTCAGTCACTATTTCTGGACATCTGCTCATTCTTGCATAGAGATAAACTTGGAAGAAGGATAGGGGGAAGTATACTGATGCCTGCCTGTTGCATCCCAACCTACCCTCAGAGCAAGGCAATCCAGCCTTGTATAAAGGCCCTGGCTTCTTTGATGTTTGTTAAGTCTCTTTTTCTTTTGCTGAGGGTCTCTCATCCAAACAGAATAGCCCTACAGTAAGCTTTCTAGTCCATAATACTTTACCTATACTATTTGGAACATTTAAAAACCACTGCAGTTTTGCAAGCCAGAATAAATCACACAATTCAGCAACTATATTTCTAAAGCGTGCTACTAACATAGATGGCATTTCTACTTTTTCACATTACATTCACATTCGCTCCCCAGGCAGGCTGAATGCTGAGCCTGGCAGGCAGCACAGTCCCTGCCCCGGCACACAGCCCCTGGGGCACAGCAGGACCTGCTCTGCAGGACAGCCCTGGGCACCCGGCTGCAGCCATGGCTGCACAGCCTGCAGCCGTCCTGGGACATGCAGCACCCAGGGCTGTGCTCTGATGCTGCAGCACAGAAGCTCTCAGCTGGAGCAGGTCCTTCTCAGCAATAAAGAAACATGGAGTGCCTCCAGCCTGATCTGCTGGTCTAACAGACCTCTCCTGGATACTCCTGTGTATTTTGCCCTGCAGCCAGAGGCTTACTGTGTTAAGTTCTGCGAGTGCTGCTCCTCCAGTGAGCTCTCAACGTTCTCCGCCTCTGTACAATGTGTCACATTTCTTTCTCTTCTCTCCTCTAATTGTCACCTACCGGCCATGCCTACAGAGTCCTCTTGCACTGTGCAGAGTTGCTGCTCCTGTACCAGCAGCTACATGAGCTCTCTGCATCCCAGAAGCTTGGCCCAGCTCAGCAGCAGAGGCCCAGCCCGAGGCCTCTCTTTCTCCATCCCATTGGTCTTCCTGCAGATGTCCCTGGGGCTCCGCAGGAAGACACTTAGGAAAATACTGAAGGAGTCAGTATTCTGACTCCTTCTGCTGTGCTGAGATTCTCCTTCCCAGGAGTGTCATTTCTCTCATCAGAGACAGAGTTTGGCAGGAGGGCCGCCTCCCCTTATCCCAACACAGACAGGACACTTGGGCAGTATAAGACAGGGATCACAGGTGCCAAAGCAGAATGAAATGACTCAGATTCTGAGTCAGCTGAGGCACCTCATTCTGGGTCTGCAGTGCTGGGGCTGGAACAGGGCTCAGCTCCTCCCATACACACCATGTATGCGCATTCCTCCTGTGTGTGCACAAAATGCCCTGGTTTAAGCCCTCATGGTAAATACTGGAGATGGAGATTAGCAGTGAGTTACTGTGATGCAAACACCAGTTGACAGCTCAAGTGAACTGGCAGCTGAAGATGTCCAAAGCATCAGCAGACATCCTTCTTCGCTGAAGCACTGAAGTCACAATAAAACTACTTTTATCTTTGCGTCCACCAGGTGCAAGAACTTTTTCTTGGATTTCATATAAATTGTTGTGAGCTACAGTGTACCAAGATATAAAGTCGATCATTATGGCATCACAATCAAAGGAAACTTGCTAAACTGGGGAAAAGCAGTTAAAGGTTGGCCCAAAGTCACAGAGATTAAGCGGAAGGGGAAATAAAGGGGAGGAAGCAAGTAGTTCTACCACCACCTTAGATGCAATTGAGCATGCCCAGAGAGACATTAGCATATATTCGTGAATTTCTGGGGAAAAAAAATGAATACATATGCCAATGTATTGCATATGTATATGTTTTGCAAGTTGATGGGGTCAACAGGAAGGACAGACGCCAACAAAAGGGATAGGCTTATTTTACTGTCCATTTCAAAGTGATACAAAAATAAAGCTTGCCTATAGACAAAGGATAAGCTCAACAATGAAGAAAATAAGCAAGTTAACACATCTACTCATTACTACATGAGGTTAGAGATAGTGATTAAGAGACATCACCAATTGCCCTCATACACATCATCCTGATCTGCAGTTCATGAAGAGCCCCAGTTGCAGCCAGGATCTGGAGAACCTGTCCTGCAACTGAGGAGTCCTACAGAGATGAGCCCTGCCTGTCAGTGAGCTCTCCAAAGTCACTGCAAGCAGATCCAGCCTTTTGTGCCACTTTGTGGTTCTGTGATTTATTACAAGCTCTGTGCAACTAAGGGATGCTGGGAAGATGGGGAAGTTGATAATAGTAAAGAGAGAAATTCTAGCAAATATTTTACAGAGTGGGGAGATCACCACCAGGGATACTGTGACATCTCATTGAATTGCAGGGCCACAGTTCTGATGTAATGTGTAATGGAAAGCATCCTTTATTCTCAGAGCCAGATGCACGGGAGACTCCTTCCTCTGATCGTGCATGCCTGGCACAAAAGAGCTTCAGCTGATCTGCATTCAGACACTGCTTCAGCCCCTGGAGCTGCCCTATGGTAGAGAACAGCTGCAGTCTGCAATGAAAGCCCAGTCCTGGAGGTAAGGGGCTGCCAGGCACCTCAAAGCAGGTGAGCAATCGAGCCAAACTGCCAGCCAAACCAAAGGCAACATTAAAAGTGCCCCAAGAGCATCTTGTCTGCTGGATCCCCTCAGAGAATAAGGGAGCTGGTGGAGAGGTGTGTATAGAAGAGAATTAAGAGAATTACCAACATGGAAGTCAGTAATCAAAAGGAGGCTGGGGAATTACTACTGCATTCAGAGGTCCACGCATGCAGATCTATGGAGCAAGGTAACTTCATCTGTGAGGACTGGGGGAGAAATACAGCCCCAGTAAAGGGACATATAATAAAAGAGGAACAGAAAAACCTCACTAAATAAAAGGTAACGAGGATTACTGCAACATGATTAAATCTGTCTCCTGGATGAAAACGAATCCCCTTTGTCACGACCTTCCAAGCTTGTGCTTCTCTGCACGAGCAATGGAGGGCACTTACCTCGGGCTCAGAGCTGCTGCACCTCAGCTGCAGGCAGCCCAGCTCCATGGAGTCGCATCGAGCAGCGGATGCCGGGTGCCCTCAGCCCGGAGCTGGCTGCAGGACGGCTTTGGTGCACCGCTGCCAGCACGGTGCTGCCCGGATGGCTTCCAGCTGGGCTCTTGCTGATTCACAGGGTGCCCCTCCGAGTGCTGCTGTCTGCGGAGCTGTCAGCTCCACCGCAGCCTTTTCCTACCCGGAGGGCCTGGGAAGAGCTCGACTCCCAGGCTGCTCCCCTACCAGGGCATTGCTCATCATCACATCAGATCACCACCCCGGGGGTTCGTGTTTTACCATGCTAACTAAGCACGGGTTTCTCTAAAGCATCTTGGCTTCCTTCTGTTGGGATGTGGCACAACCTTGTGCTCAGCCATTCCTACTTTCTTGTCTTCGTGTTCCTTTACACTCCTCTCCCTCATGAAGATGTCTTCACAAGAGATTGCCCTCTCTGCCTGCCCTGCTCTTGAGGGCAGCATCTCTGTGCAGCTGGGTCACTTCTTCACTGAGCCCTGCCGATGGCAGAGTTTACACGTTTTAACTATGGAGCAAATGAGACTCTTAATGGTGGAACAGCTCACAGCTACTCCTAGCATGAAGAAAGCTGCTGAACCTCTTTCTTCTGAGCTGAAAAGAATTCCTTTTCACTTACACTCTGGCGATAACTGAGCTCTTTCTCATCGCTTTCTGAGAACGTTCTTTCCTGATTCATCAATAGGTGCTCTTTTGAAGGCATCAGCATGGTTAAAAATTCCTCGTACCCGGTGGATGCAAAGATTAAAGTCAGCTGCTGTGACTTCATTGCTCCTGTGAAGCAGGTTCATTGAGAAAAGTAAGGCTGTTCGCACACCTAGCAAAGCTGAACTGGAACATTTTAGAATTAGCATTCAATAATTCCTTTTGTTAAACTCATATTGGTCCTTAAGCCAGATCCCTATTGCTAACCTAGTCTTTGTCACACTCAAGGTCAGAGATTTTTTATGAAATGTCACTCTCCCTGTACTTCATCATTGACAGTAATTGTGCACAAATGTCCGTACTGTTAACAAGTGATGATGTGAGTAAGGAGGGACTATAAAGCAATGCTTGTTTTTCTCTGGTAAAAGAGGGCTTATGAAAGTCTGCTACAAAGCCATGATCAGATTTTTGATTGCAACTCTCTTCATTCCACTTGAAAAAATTGCAAGCAGCATTGGCTGCAAATATTTGAAAGTATAATGATTATGTATTTATGTATTTATTTATTGTAATCCAAACCTATTCTCAAATTCCTTTATCACAGTGAAAAACAAGGCGGATCTTTTATTACTCACAGAACTGCATTTAGCCAATGGATCCAAACGCATGAAGTGATTGGCCATAACTTGAGCTGGCACTGCACCATGCCCTCCCTGTCCCTGGTTTCAGTCCAGATCGGATTAATAGCACACCAGTGTTTGGTTGGTGGTGAGGGTGTTGAGGGCCTGGGCTGCTTAGTGGGAAGAGTCACCCCATGGCAGCATGGGGAAGGGAGTGCAGGCTGCATTGTGAGCTGTGCCAGGCCGCAGGTTGGACATGCCTGC